ATAGGTGTAGTTGGGGATGGCCATGAACTTCATGTAGCATGGACGTCCTAGGATGGCGTGGTAGGTTCCATGGAATCCAACCACCTTGAAGGTAAGGGTCTCTGTCTTATAATTAGAAGGATCCCCGAAGGTGACGGGCAGATTGATCTGGCAGAGTGGCACGACCTATTTTCTAGGCACGATGTCGTGGAAATGCGCCCTGTTGATGCCCATGGCGTCGAGTGTTTTCGTGTACATGATATTGAGGTCACTGCCTCCATCCATCAGTACCTTGGTGAGCCGCTTTGTGCCGATTATTAGGTCGACCACGAGCGAATATCATTCTAGCACGGACGCACTCCAGGTGGTTGGTTTGATTAAAGGTTATGGCGGACTCCGACCATCGAAGGAGGTAAGTGCGGTCGGCTCGGCTGTATAGACCTCGCGGCACATAAGCTTCTGGCGGCACTTGGAGTCGTAGGCCACCAACCCTCCAAAGATCATGAGGCAGCCATCCAGTGTCGAAAAGCCACCGTCCTTCTCCTCGGCGTCATCTGTGGCCGGGTTGGGGTCCCTCCTGTGCTCCCCTTATTGGAGCCTCCGGACAAGAACCGCTTCATGAGGCCGCAGTCCTTGTATAGGTGCTTGACGGGGAAAGCATGGTTCGGGCATGGCTCTTCGAGCAGCTTCTCGAAGTGGTTCGGGGTACCCTCTGTGGGCTTTCGACCCCCCTTGCGGTCTGCTGCAGCCACGAGCGAGCCCTCGTGCCTTTGCTTGTTTTTCTTCTTGCTGGGATGGTTGGAGGCGCCTTTGTCGGCGTCCTCGTCCATATTCGCCTTGCCTTTAAGGCGGTCAAAGATTGCTCTGACCCCCTCCTCGCTCGAGGTGTGGCTAGTGGCGATGTTGAGGAGCTCCTTGGTGGTTCATGGGCCCTTACGTTCCAGCTTATGGACCAAGGACTCACAGGTGGTCCTAGACAGGAAAGCTCCTATGACGTTGGCGTCGGCGACGTCGAGCAACTCATTGCACTGCAGGGAGAAGCGTCGGATGTACCCATGAAGGGTTTCCCCGGCCTTCTGTTGGCAGTTTTTGAGATCCCATGGGTTCCTATGACGCTTGTATGTGCCCTGAAAGTTCCCCACAAAGATCTCTTTTAGGTCCACCCAACTTTGGATTCTGTTGGCGGGAAGGTGTTCCAACCATGTTCGTGCCGAATCGGCCAGGAATAATGGAAGGTTGCGGATAATGAAATCGTCATTATCCACTCCACCGGCTTGGCAAGCAAGCCGATAATCCTCGAGCCACAGTCTGAGGTTCATTTCCCCAGAGTATTTTGGGATGTTGGTTGGTGGTCAGTACCATGGTGGGAAGACGGCGTTGAGGATGTGTCGGCCAAAGGCCAGAGGTCCCAACAAGTCAAGGCTCGGGCTTCGGCCCTCGCCACTGTCGTAGCGTCCACCACGACGAGGGTGGTAGCCATAGATAGCTCCCTCCCTCGCATCATCGTGGGTATGCCTGCGGGCATCGAGGGTGTCCCTCGCGTCATGGTGGCGGCCGAGACGCTCATGCACCGGGACCGCGGCGCGTGGCCTACCACCTTGCGGCGCCTAGTGGACTGACGCGTCCTTGTCGAGTCGCTCTGAGGGCGTGCGCTGGCTGGCGTCGAGCTCACGTCATCGGGACAGCGAGCTCTCGGCCTGCTGTGCCGCCACATGCTCTAGTAGTGTGCGAATCTCGTGATGGGCCCGACAATCCTCGGGCGTCGCGGGCCCCAAAAGCCCTCGGAGCAAGGCCGCCACAACAGCGATGTTCTGGCTTGCCCCGGCGAAGTGTGGGAGCGCTTCATCGTTCTCGATGATCCTCCGGTTCACGTCACGGGCCATGGCACGCGCATGCCCACCGTCTCTATGGCGCTCGATCTCTCGCTCGAGCTCCATGCGTTCCTGCTTGAGCTGGAGTCGCGCTTCTTTGAGCTCTTAGTGCCGGGCCTTCAGCTGCTCCACCCGCAGGCAGGGCAGGGCCCCAGCATCCCCCTCGGCCTCGTTGTCAAGGTCATTCATTGGGGTAGCCTCTTCTTCATGGATGCTTTCAACGTGTCCCTCGGGGGTACCTGCCATGAAACACTCACGAGAGGGGTGATGGCTCCCCCTGCTGGATTCAGAGCTGGAGGGCGACTCTGATTCTCCTATGAGGAGGTCGTGGAAAGTCTATGTGACATATTCGGTCATCCCCATGACCTCCTCGTTCGTAGGGGATGGAGGCGTACGTTGCGCCATAAGGTGGCCAACGGTCTCCGCGGCGTTGCGGAGATCGGACGGGAGCGCTGTCGGGGCATTCTGGATGAGGTATTCCAGGGAGAGCGGCTCTCCTCCGGTGAGCTGCATCATGACGTTAGCGAACAAGAAGGTGAGGTGGCGCAGGTTCTCCCAGGACGGTCGGGGTCCTAGGAAGGCGCCGAGCTGGCCCTCTAACCTCCCATAGTCGAAGCTGAGGAGCTGGTCGCTCCTGAGGGCGCGGGCCTCCGTGCGTGTAGCTGCAGCTCCTCAAGTGCCTCGGCGATCGCGTCGAGGCCGGCGGAGCGAGAGGTTGGATGGCTGCAAGAGCCTACACCAACCCTCCCTCCATCGTGATGATGAAGTCTAGGTTCCCAAAGCGCACGTGTGCACCCGGGACCTAGCTGATTATCCATCCGAGGCCTGGTGTGGATGTCGAGACGTGCAAAAGGCCCATACCTTCTTGCTCGGATATTGCGCGTCTGGCTCGGATGGTGTGCTTAGAGGACACGAGGTTTATACTAGTTCGAACATAATGTCCCTCGTCCAGTTCGTTGCTGCTGCTCGTGTTACTAGCACTAAAAGTTCATAGTAGGGGTTACAAATGGGCAAGAGAGGGATGGGTCCCAAGTCTCTGGTGAAAGGAGTGAACGGGTGCTGAGAGAGCTCGGTTGCTGCTCAGCCATGTTTTCGGGGTTCGATGGGTTTGTTCGGACTTGACTTGAATCGATCCGATGCCCTTTAATGGAGCGCCCTGCTTTCCCTTTTATAGGCCAGGGGAAAGCACGGGTTACAGTGGAGGAAAAGAGGAGAACGAGAGAGAGAGCCGAAGGCCTTCAGGATCGCCGGGTCCTTCTTCTCATTCATGTGGGTCCCACCGACACTGTAGATGTCAACAGGGACGGTGCCACGTCGCGGTCTTGTCCGTCACTGGCGCCATGCGCAGCGTCGTCTGCCGGTCATGGCGCTCCACTCCGTCCTGGTGGACGTTGTGGTGAACCGACGTGCCTGCCAGTGTTCGTATGAGGGTTAGGCAGAACAGTACCGGTACGCCCGACGCTGTTCTTGATGTGAATCCTCAGGTATGGCCCGTCGTGGCCACGGGTTACATCGAGGCGTGCCGGTCTCTTCCTTGGCATCAGAGTTTTGACCCTGGCCCATACGCTTGGACCCGGAGTGGTTGGTGGCGGTATGGGACCTCATCGGGTGAGGCGGAGCCCGCATCCGAGGGGTCGGATGAGGCGGAGCCTGCCCCTAGAGGTCGGGCGAGGCGGAGCTCGCAGCCCTAGGGTCGGGCGAGGCGGAGCCCGTGGCCTTGGGTTCGGGCGAGGCAGAGCCCACGGCCCCGGGTCGGGCGAGGCAGAGCCCGCCTCCAGAGGTCGGGCGAGGCGGAGCCCGTGACCTTAGGGTCGGGCGAGGCGGAGCCTGCGGCCTCAGGGTCGGGCGAGGCGGAGTTTGCGTGCCTTAGGGTCCGTTGGAGCTGTAGTCGCGCTCTTGACTGCTCGGATGAATCAATGTTGATGATCATTAGCTCCCCCTCTTTAGGTACCCTAGTATTGGTCTTCGACAGGTATCAAGGTCAAGTACAGAGGCTGAATATAAATCATTGGCCAATGCAACTGCCGAGGTAATGTGGATACAGAAACTACTTGATGAATTAGGTATCTCACATCCCCAAGCAGCATGTGTAGGTGCGACAACATTGGTGCCAAATATCTCTCAGCCAATCCTGTATTTCATGCCCGCACTAAACACATAGAAATTGATTTTCATTTTGTGCGTGAACAAGTTGCTGCGAAGCGCCTGGATATCTGGTTTATCAGCACTACTGACCAGATTGCAGATGGTTTCACCAAAGCACTTCCTGAGAAGCAAACCATGATGTTCAGAGATAATCTCAACGTTGTGATTGACGAGATAATCTCAACGTTGTGATTGACGCAAGGTGGGGGGTAGGGTTTCTCTCTCTCTCTGAAATATCTGGTCCTTGATAGTAGCTGATCTGGTGTGACGTGGGTAGTTTGTTCCTCTCTCTCTGCTCTTTCTGGCTCTATTTAACACGGAGCTGTGACCCTGAGAAGGATCACGTTACAACCATTTTTACGAACTTAACTATTAAAACCTGACAATTTCTTAACATTAAAACTTAACTATTTGGCATCGATGAAGTACAGCCCGCATCTTTGAACTGCCAGCGTCCGCATCTCGTTTAATTTATAGGGGTAGCAACTCCCAAATATCATTGGGAAATGTTCGTATAAACGACAAGATGCCCAGCAGGAAGCATCTTTGAACTCCAGCGTCCGCATTTCGTCTAAACTCAGTAGCCGTGCCAGAGGAAACGGATTGGAATGCTGAATGCTAGTTTGCTCTAGATTCCAGCGGGGAAACTACAAACTAGTCTCGGCAGCGAGCACTGCTGTAAGGTCACTCAACACCCAGTAACTTTTTCTCTGAATGGTCTGTATATTCGATAAAATACAACATTAAGCACAATACTGCCTGCCCCACGCGCCGTTACAACCAACGCTACAAGAGTCCATTTCCAGTGGCACACGAGTCCAATCTGACGAGGGCAAACGGACAATGCCAGGCAGCTACACGACGAACCAGGCGACGCCGAGGATGCCCACGGCGAGCCACTGGGCATCTCAGCTTCGCCCGTATTTATTAAGCCGTGCGACCAGCCGCCACCACCAGCACAACAGCCAAATCACACGAACCGATCGACTCAGGGGGGAAACACCGATGATGGGGTGGGGAGAAGTCGTCTCGAGCCAGCTGCTGATAGAGTCGCTGTCCTTGCCGGCGGCGTCGTTGCCGGCAGTTCTTTTCACCGCCGCGGCCTTGGCCGCCGGCGCCTTTGCGGTCTACTTCTACATCCCATCATGGCGCGTGCGCAGGGTCCCCGGGCCGGTCGCGCTCCCGCTCGTCGGACACCTGCCGCTGTTCGTCAAGCACGGCCCGGGACTGTTCCGCATGTTGGCAAAGGAATACGGGCCAATCTACAGGTGAGCTAGCCGCCCTGCGCCGTAGTAGCTGTAGTCCTGAATCCGGATATATATGTGTCCATTTTGGTTTAACAAGTGGCGGCTGTGTTTTCCTTTTTAGGTTCCACATGGGTAGGCAGCCACTGGTTATGGTGGCAGACGCGGAGCTTTGCAAGGAGGTGGGTATCAAGAAGTTCAAGAGCATCCCCAACAGAAGCATACCGACTCCAATTCGTGGCTCACCTATTCACAACAAGGGCCTCTTCTTCACCAGGTAAAGCTAATGGAACACTCTTACGAGCTTAATTGATTAATATCATGATAGGTTTTTTTTTTGAAGGCTCGGTGGGGGAATTCCCCCACCAATTTTTTTCTTTATTGATGTGGTAAAAAGGGGTACAAAGTTACAATTGCACGAGGGGTGCATTCAAAGAACTTGCAAAGCTCAAAAAAAAAAAAGAAAGTAAAAACATTAGGGGATATTCTCTAACCACAAATTTAGGGAGCCTGCAAGGCTGAGCTTGGCTTTGATGCAAATCAAGCCAATCTCTGCTCTGAAAATAGAGAACCAACTATTGATGCTACAGGGATTATTATCAAAGATCAAACCATTGCTACAGGGATTAATATCATGATAGTCATTAGCTTTTAAAAGAAAATAGCACCAGCAGGTCTTTCTTTCAGTTAAGTTGCAGGAGTAGAGAGTTTTGAAGCAAAAGAAAATGTTACATCGGTATCCATAGAATGAAATTGGTCTTAAGCAAATTGGTCTCCAGATAAACTAGTTTGAGCTGGTGAACTTGTCTAACCATTTGCATGCATGCTTCGCGCGCGCAGGGACGCGAGATGGCAATCCATGCGGAACGTCATCCTCTCCATCTACCAGCCGTCGCACGTGGCAAGCCTCATCCCGGCCATCCAACCATACGTCGAGCGGGCAGGGCGTCTCCTCCACCCCGGCGAGGAGATCACCTTCTCGGACCTCTCCTTAAAGCTCTTCAATGACACCATCGGCCAGGTCGCCTTCGGTGTCGACTTCGGCCTCACCAAGGACACGGCCACCTCGCCGCCGCCGCCGCAGCAACATGCCAAGAGCGTCGACCCGGCCACCGACTTCATCCGGAAGCACTTCCACGCCACGACGTCGCTCAAGATGGACCTGTCGGGCCCACTGTCCATCGTGCTCGGCCAGTTCGTGCCGTTCCTCCAGGAGCCCGTGCGGCAGCTTATGTTGCGCGTGCCAGGCTCGGCCGACCGGCGCCTGGAAGAGGCCAACTCGGACATGAGCGGCCTTCTTGATGAGATTGTGGCCGAGCGGGCGGCGCAGGCGGACAGGGGCCAGAAGAACTTCCTGTCCGTGTTGCTCAACGCCAGAGAGAGCACGGAGGCCATGAAGAAGCTACTCACTCCGGACTACGTGAGCGCACTCACGTACGAGCACCTGCTCGCCGGGTCTGTCACCATGTCGTTCACGCTGTCCAGCCTGGTCTACCTCATGGCGATGCACCCGGAGGTGGAGGAGAAGCTGCTCCGGGAGATCGACGCTTTTGGGCCAAAGGACGTGGTGCCCAGCTCCGACGACCTTCAGACAAAGTTTCCCTACGTTGAACAGGTAAGCCTGCTTCGATGCTTCTCTTTCCTAAAAGCCTTATGAAAATGTATCAAACTCACTAATAAATTAGATAATTTATTGGGTGGAAAATCGTTACCAACTTAAGAGAATGTTACTCCCTCCGATCTAGTTTATAAGACATCTTACATTGTCTCCTAAATTATACTTTCACCAATTATTTGTTTTATATTATAATGTTTATGATTATAAACTTATGTTTATTGGATAGTACATTTGATTATAAATCTAACTTTATCAAGTTTGTATTATAATAGTTCAAAGTTGTTAGTCAAATTATTGATCAAACATTATAAAATTTGACTCCTGACCTTTGAAATGCCTTATAAATCGGACCGAAGGAGGTATCTTATTATTACAGTGTTAATCTCACGAGACACGCTAGGAAAAATAGATAAATTATAAAAATTATCATAACAATTACAAATATATGGTCTTTCATTTGGTAGACTACTAGACTCTAATCATCATCATTGATAATAGTCAATAGACCTGTTCTGTTTTATAAAAAAACATATCCACATATCTCAGTTATACAAAATAAGTAGAGTAAATTCTCTAAATTTGTATCTAAATTACATATCTCTTCAATAATGGAAGATAATTAAAATAACCTCCTAAATATGTATCTAAATTACTCACATATGACATTATGAAACATGCCTATGCGTTATAACGGAATGTATAGCTTGTTGTGTAGTCACCTAAATGACTTGTGACATGGAGATTTATGTAACAGTCACATTATATGTATTCGCTAGACACACGCATGCACGTGGTTCTGACTCATATAAGCACAGGTTATAAGTTAGGTCCTAGACAAGATAAGAAAACGACGCAAGGGTATTGTGAGAAGTAAAAGGAAAATAGACGAAAGAATCACTTTGCTCTTTGATATTAGGTAGAGATATAAATAATCTAACATAACTATATATAAATTACTCACCTCTACCATTATAAAATATAATGTGAAATAACCCTTAAATTAGCATCTAAATTACCCATATATGTCATTATGAAAGATAATACAAAGTACTACCTCCGTTCAATGAGTTTCAAGTTTGATCAAATATATAAAGAAATTCTAATATCTATGAGGTGTAATAAGTATAATTAGATGAACTATAGAATATATTTTCATGATTAATCTATTTGGAGATATAAATGTTGATAATATTATCTTAAAATCAAGCTAAATCTAATAAAGTTTGACTTAGTCCACTAGAATAATACTCTTTTAGGGACGGAGGTAGTAACACTTTAATTTGTATGTCTCACCATCACCGCCGGTTTGTGATACGAACAAGCAACCCTAAACCCTAAACCCTAAAACTATGACCGCTGATTCGTATCACCAACCGGTAGTGATGATGGGCTCCTCATCACTGCCACCTCGTCGTATAAATCGGCGGTGAAGACAGTTTTTACCGCCAGCTCGTCGTATGAAAGGGCAATGATAACCATGCTGCAGCACAATAACATTCATAACTTTTTCAAACAAGGTTGGATGAAGACCAACTTTATATCAAAGTTGTAGGTCTCGATGACTTTTGGGAATGGAGTGGTTAGAGGAGTCACGCACGAGGCCAGAGGTTTGAATCCCACCGCCGCACAACATGTGTATTTCCATGCGAAAAATCGTGTGATTTGTGATGCATGACCGTGTGGATGGCTGGTGGGGGACTTCTCAAGATTAAAAGATTTTTTTTGCTATTTTTGGCTTGTTTTTTGGATTTCTGGAAACTATCACCACCACTGATTCATGTTACCAAATGGCGGTCATAATCTATTATCACCACCGGTGTCTAACCGTCATTAGATCTAGTCATCAATTTGGTATACTTTAATCACAGTTGATATTAATAGTCATTGGATCTATTTTCTTCTCTAAATAAATACCCACCACCGCAAAGTAACCCATGAACTTATATCTAACCATCTATGCCATTATAAAACATAATATAAAGTAACTCTAAATTTGCATACAATTACCCAACCATTATGATAGATAATTTATGTAACCTCTTCAATTTACATCTAAATTGGCACTTCTAGCACTATTAAAAATAAATCATCATCTCAAATCTACATCTAAATTACCGATGTATGCTATTATGAAAAATATCTATATTACCATAAAAATGCATATTCATACAATATGACTTGTATAAATTGTTACTTTAGATAGATCTTAAATTTAATTAAAATGTTTGAGATAGCTATATATTAGTAGTATAATTGTAAAAAGTTTCCTTTATAACAAAGCACTATCTGTGTTCTCATTTATTTTATCACTTTTTAGGTTGTGAAGGAAACAATGAGATTCTTCACTGCATCTCCACTGGTTGCAAGGCAAGCATCCGAGGATGTTGAGGTTGGAGGGTACCTCCTGCCCAAGGTAAGAGACATCATCTGCGTTCTGCGGGCAGCGTGCTAGTAGTTTCCCTGTCCTGCAGCAACGTTAGTGGTGCATATAAATAAATAAATAAACTGTCACTGATAACAAGCATCTGTCTAACACATTTGCGACACCCTCACAGGGCACCTGGGTGTGGCTGGCGCCCGGCGTGCTGGCGAAAGATCCGAAGGACTTTCCAGACCCGGACGTGTTCCGGCCGGAGCGTTTCGACCCGGAGAGTGAGGAGTGCAAGCGAAGGCACCCCTACGCGTTCATCCCCTTCGGTATCGGCCCCCGGGCATGCATCGGCCAGAAGTTTGCTATGCAGCAGCTGAAGCTAGTCGTCATCCACCTCTACCGCAACTACATCTTCAGGCACTCGCCCAGGATGGAGTTTCCCCTGCAGTTCCAGTACTCCATTTTGGTCAACTTCAAGTATGGTGTCAAGGTCCAGGTCATCGAGAGGAAGAACTGATGCACGCATGCATTATTATTAGCAGTATTAGCAGAAGTGCTATATATTATTTATATATCTTATATGATCTAAACAGAATATGCATCTATACGCTACAAGAAGTGTTGTAATACCCGAAATCTTGAACAAATCAGCCAAGCAGGCGTACACGTGTAATATTAATATAGCATATAGTGGCCGATGACATGGTTGTATATATGACATATTTCTCCGTGTGCTTACTTTAGGCCCCCATGGCAAGAGTTCGAGGCTCCGTAGATTGTATCATCATCCTCTAACATAGCACCCGTTATTGTTTGGAGCTACAAAATCTTTCCAGCACTGCATCACTCATGTTATGACTGGCCACCTAAGCTCTCGAGCCCATGACGCGAGATGCACGCGGGCATGTGTCTCATCTTCCATTTTTACTAACTTCACCAGAGTTGCATACATTTACACTAAGTAAGCATGTGTCTCTCCTTTTCACCTTCGGATTTGCTAGAGCCTGGATGTCCGATCCGGGGCGCTAGCGTCAGATGGTACCCGCTCAGCGAACGAGCGAGCACCCCAGCACGTCTAGCTTGTGAGCAAGCGCCCCAGCAGCGGACCCGCCCAGCCGCTTCTCACGCTCATCCCATGTGCAACCCTCGATCTACTTTTGAAACATTCAGATGCAACAGTTGCAACATACAAAGAAGACAGATGAAACAATTAAAAGATGCGTCTGCAATATTTGCAAAAACAAATGAAAAACATTGCAAACATCCAGATGAAACACTTGGAACAGACGTATGAAACACCTGAAACCACTTGAAAAATACGATTGCAACTTGCATGTATATCCAACATCCAGATCTACTTTTGCAACATTCAGATGAAAATACTTGCAACATACGTCTGATACAAATGAAACATTTGAAACATACACTTGAAACATACATATATAGCCATTACAACATGTGCAACATCCCGATCTACTTTTGCAATACCGATACGAAACACCAGGAACATACCACCTGAAACATAACACCTGAAACATATATTTGCAACATGTGCTTTCAGTGCAACATCTCCTTGCTGTTTGGGAATGGAGGCTCATTGGTGGCGTGGAGCTCGCTGCTCCGGTGGAGAAGGCTACGGCGGGTTGCTCCGGTGGAGAAGACGGACCACACGCTGGAGAAGGCCACGGTGGGCAAGAGGTGCCATGGAGAGGGAGGGAGACGGGCAGCCACGCTGGGGTGTGGTGGAGATGCCGGCTAGCGGCCGGTGCCAAAACGCCGTGAATAACGCCATGGTGGTGTGGTGGAGCCGCAGAGCACTGTCGCGGCACTGCTGTGGAGAGCCTTCTGGAGAGAACGAGTGGACGAGATGCTTCTAGAGAGGACGACAAGAGGATACGATGTCGGGCAGTTGGGCTGGTGTCACGGCCCGTCGAGACGACGTCCGGACGATCGGACGGCCGGGTGTAACCATTTGCATTTCACCTTTCTTAACTCACAATAGTGGCACACATTTATGTTGAGTCAATCTTAGTCATTTTGTTCATACATCATCAATTCATCTATTGCACCTACATTTATTGTGGCTCCTGAAATTTAGTTAGTTTAGTTGAAATAGGATTGGGCAAAGTCCAATTCAATCCAACAAAGATAGTTAACTCATTATCAATGGCAGGGCTATAATCTATATGATTGCAAACAATAAAAGTAGTAAATTTCTTTTCTATCTCTCACTCTATCCTCATATGTTCGTCCTTCACTCCTCTTATGTTACTTGGGCTATCATCCCTCACTCTCTCACCCTTCCTGTTTTGAGTTTGGAGCTACAAAATGATTCTCACTATTCTCGCTTTGAGTTTAAAGCTACAAAACTTTCATTGGTGTCACACCACCCATGTCATGACCTAGCCGCCTAATCCCATATGTGTGGCGGCGTGCGTGCAGAAGTGTGGTTTGTCTTCCGCTTTTTTAAACTCACAATAGAATAATAGATGCACACAATAACCACTCATTTAAGTTGAGTCAATCTTCTGTCAATTTTCCACATTTTCCAGTACTCTTTTATTGCACTAGCATTTATTATGGGCATGAGCACCTAGGTTGGGCTAATTAGGCTCAATAAAATCCAATAAAAATATGTAGCTCATTATCATCGGCACGAGCATCGTGCAACAGATTATACATCCTATTAAAATATAAGAGCAGATTTACTAGTATAATATTCAAAACCACAAATTTCCCGTTCATCCTTCGCTCTCACGCATTTTAGTCTGCTACTCTCTTTCCTTCACTTCCACACCTCTTCTTTCATCCCTCGGTGTATCATCCCTGACTCACTCTTCTCACTGCAATACGGGTCGGTTATAGTTTAGAGTTGTATAACCTTTACTAGCACCACTTATGTCATGGCCTCTCCACCTAAGAAAGAGTACATGCCACGATGTGCGCTGGTGTGGGGCTCGACTTCACCTTTTATTAACCTCACAACATGTGCACATAATAGTCATCCATTTAAGATGAGTTAATCTCTGTTTTTTTCTCATATGATTAATCCTTTATTGCACCTAGAGTTCATTATGAGCCTTTTTTTAGGGAACATTATATTATGAGCCTTATTTGATTTAGTTAAAATAAGGTTGGGCCAAGCTCAATTAGATCCAACAAAGATAGATAGCTCATTATCATCTGTTATCACACTCTCTTCCAAGTTGTATGTCCTATTGCAATGCAAGTTGTACCTTGCAACGGGCATATTTATTGGTATCTATATCTATATCTAATAATAAAGAGGCAAAATTTCCGCCGTAGTTTTTTTTTCCTCCTTCTGGCTTATTTTTTCGTCCAACCCCAAATCCAGCTCGGTCTTGTGCTCAGCCTCAGTATGCCGATCTATTTGCCTTAACCGACCAAGATTAGGAGCGGGGAAGAGAATAGAAAGAAATTTAGGGTTCTAGATGTAAAATGGCTAGAGAGAAAGAAAATGTGGGAGGACGTTAATATATTGGGGTTCTTGATGCAAAGTATTCATAATCAAGTGGGCCTCTCCTGGTGGGCTTCTTTTTTTTTTGACCTGGGCTGAATCCTTCATGTTGGGCCGACTTCGTTGTGGGATGGACCAAGCCCATACAAGCTTTTTTTTTCTTTCGTTTTCCCTTTTTCTATAAAAACAAAGATTTTGCAAAATTCAAAAAAATATTATAGAAAAATCAGAAAATACCAAACCAGTTTTGTTAGCTTCATAAAAATGTGATTTATCCATAGATGTTATGAATCTTGTTAAGTTGTGCTTTGCATGTAGGTGCGTTAAATCATCTCTTCATATGTTGTATGCATATAGGTTTGACGATGACCGGGAACGTGCCAAAAGCAAACCCGGAATACGCAAAGGTGGCTGAGGAGCACGAGGAGGATGTCCTCGTCGTCGGTGTTTCTGAAACCTTCACTAACTTTTCACTATCTGGTTCCTGCCTAAGGCAAGCCTCGGTACATAACTCTAACTTTTTAGCGGTGTTTGTTTGTGCATTAAGTTTTGAGAAGATAGATTTACACTATCTGGTGTAGTTTTGATTAGAAATAAAACTTATTTTTATTAAATATGAATTAGTCAATGGTACAACTAATTATTTCATGAACTAGAAACCTTGGGCAGATTATTGTCTAATAAAATCTAAATAAATGTATTTATGTAATTCCTAACGAGGGCTGTTGTGTGAAAAATCAAGAGAGGTCTCTCGTCGTAATCATTGGCGGATAGACCAATCCTCGACACATCGAAAAAAGTTACGGGGGTTGATATGATGCGTCAAAAAATCCACAAAGGTCAATATTGAGTCAGAGAAACACATGGGTAGTATGAAAAAGTAAAGTTATGGTATATTTGTATCTAAATAATTATGCACTTTGCGATGGAAGAAAAAATATGCCAAGGTGTATTTCAATTCGATACAGGTTTAATAGGACATTGTTATTTATTGTCAGCATTAACTTACATTATGGATGAGACGGTCATCATAAAATAAATTATAAAAGCATAAAATAGATATGTACCATTCACGTTATCGTTTTGCATAAATGTTTAATAATTTTTTTCTCTCCATTACAACGCATAGGCATATTTGCTAGTATAATATTAAAGGGAGAAAAATCTTTCATCCATGATCACTGTCTCTCCCCATCCGTATGTCCCTTACTTTCACCTTTCTTTTTCTTTCATTCATTTCTCATTACGATGTCCCTCGCTCCAACCTATCTCCCTCACTTCCACCCTTGTTCTTTCTTCCTTCGGACTATCGTTTCTCATTCTCACCCATTGCCCACCCACAACAGGAGCCCTAGGCCCAGCTGAGGTGGTCTATCCTCCTCCAACATGGTTTTACAACATGTTGGTGTGGCACCATCATGTTGTGGTCTGCCCATCTGAATCTGAGTACGTGCACATCACGATTCAGAACGCGCACGAATATATGGCTTGCCTTTCACCTTTCTTAACCTTGACTTCATGTAAATCGAAACAACTATTAGTAACCGTCACTGTCAACTTCATTCAAAAAGTATTTTTTTCAGATAATTAAGGCATTTTAAATCTGAATATCTGAACCAAAGATTTCATGACATCAACAACCAGTCGGCCGTAATTAAAAAGACTAATTGCCTAGAGCAAATCAGGTGAATGCTCAACATAGTTGGCTTTGGACATGAATACCTTTGTCAGAAGGGGGTTTGAACAGGGTAAAAAGGACAAAAGAGAGCAATAGTAATCTACAATTTACAAGAAAATAATGAACAAACAATAGTAGGTCCTGTGTTACCCTATTTCACGTGATAAAGCTCCTACATGACGCCCTTCTCCAAGCAAATCTCCTGAGCAGAAAGCAGAGTTTCCTGTCAAAATTCTATTTTGCAATGTCTCATCATGTAACGCATCCTCGACGACCTGTGTGGACCTGATTTGGAGGTCATGAATGATGTTCTTCCTCGTGAGAAGATGTTGTGTTTCCATGTGGTGCATGAGTTGGATGG